GTGTGTGTGTGTGTGTGTGTGTGTGTGTGTGTGTGTGTGTGTGTGTTTTGTGGGGGAGGCATAATGTCATGTCCTTACAGGCTCTGCTATATAAAATGATTTTTTACAGGCAATCTTTATAACTTGATATAAATATTTTGTAAGATTTTAATTTAAAGTAAAAAAATGAGGCAGATATGTTCATAAGAACATGGAACATTGTATGAAACAGTGATTTATGGTCAGAGATCTGCTCAGAAACAATAACAGTTTAAACTAGAAGCACTCGGAGAATGCAAACCTCCACCAAGACCAATTTCCTCATCCCGTAATAGAGTTACAAAGGGGCACACCAATTCTACAGTGCCATCTGCTGGACACTTTGAAACCCACGCCCCGTGAAAGCATCACAGCTTTGCCGAYGTCAGAGTGTTAAAAGAAAAAAAATCCTGTATCCGCATCATCCGGAACATCACCCAAATTTAAAGGTGTGTTCCTTGGACCAGTACCCACATGTGGTAAAAATGTCATGACAATCCATCCACAAGTTTTTGAGTAATGTTGTCCACAGACAGAACGACAGACAGATGAACAGACAGACAGACAGACAGACAGACATACACGACCGAAAACATTACCTCGCCCTTGGCAGAGGTAATAAGCTCCACTTTAAACCTGGTCGAGACCAGGTTAGTTTCAGAGAACCTATGTGCCTCCTGGTTTGTGCAATCAAATCAAAGATTAATTCACCCATGATTACAAGGAAATTCTGGATTAATCCCTTATCCAATTTTTATGCAACAGGACCCAGATGTTAGCTCAATATCTATCAAACTCATTGTGTTACACATATTCATGTGCAGATTCAGGTTGATTAGCTGTGGGATGACCCCAAAGATGTATCAGATATAGATGTTTTTCTAATTAAAACTTTCAGGGAGTTTTAATAAACACACACACACACACACACAAACTTGTTTTTATATCCTTGCGGGGCCCGTCCATTGACTTCTATTCATTTTTTGGTAATGTTATATCCTAACCCTGACCACCAAACCTAAAGCTAACCTCACAGGTACCTACCTGACTCTGAAACTAACCTAAATTCAATTCACACCTTGGTCCTAAACCCAACCCACAACCCAAAATCAGCCTCCCCCCACAAGGAGCATCCGGTCCCCACGAGGCTGCATTTTCCTTAAAACTGGGCCCAACAATGTAGGAAAAACAAGGCCACACACACACACACACATAAACACACACTTGTATTTGCATCAAACTGAGGACTTTGTATTGACTCATTCATTTTTGTAACTGTATTTATGCCTAACCCAGACATTTTCTCTAAAACTAACCATTACTGGTCTATTCCTAACCATAACCAAAACTTCATTCACACCATACCTCTAAACCTAACTAGCAGAGCATAGTAGAGCTGCAAAAAATTGAGGACCAAGAAAATATCCTCACTTCACAAAACTGTCCCCACGTTGTTGTTTAAAGATGTTATGGTCCTCACTCTTCAGTTTGAACCTTCTTCCTGTTTTATTGAGCTCACATCTTTTATTCTTTATTCAGATTGAGGAACTGCAGTTTRTCAGAGATCAGCTGTTCTTCTCTGGGCTCAGCTATGAAGTCCAACCCCTCCCATCTGACAGAACTGAACCTGAGTGACAACAAGAACCTGTCTGACTCTGGAGTGAAGGATCTCTGTGGTTTCTTGGAGAGTCCAAACTGTAGACTGGAGGTTCTGAGGTCAGTTCACTGCAGCTGTTAGAGGTTTTCTGTTTGTCCAAACAAAATCAACCACTGATCCTACAGATTTTATTGATTTATAAATGTTTCATTCATTTAAGTTCAACTTGAACATGTCTGTTTTGAATTTTCTTTTTCCAAACCTCTAAATGCGTTTTTAGAATGAGAACATTTGCTGCTTATTTTAAAGTCTGTAGCAGTGTAGAAATAAACGTGTTGTTTAAAATGGCATGTCTGAATAAAACAGAAATCCACTGGATTCTTCTTAAAACTTTATTCTCAATCTTCTGACYCCAATCAGGTTCATACAGCACKCAGCAGGCCTTAGCATAAGACCTTGGACTGAACCAAAACAAAACCCAGGAGCTCTGCTCTGAGCAGAGACTCTGAAAAACACTAACACTTCTTCCTGCTATCATTATGAATTGACTTTATAATGTACATCTCTTCCTGGTTACATCCCTGGAGGTGTTGCCTTTTACGTCAAATGTAAAGCATAACTCATTTTTGTTTAGGCTAAGGAAAGAACAYATGATAAGACACACACCAACTCTTAATCTGTTATGGCCCCTGTTAAGCACTAAGAGGTTTTAGAGGTAATTTCCACCTGAAAATACACAGCAAAATTAATCAAGAAKAGCTCCACAGTTGTAAGGTCTAAATGCTAACTCTTGGTACCTCTGTACAGGTAAGATCTTAAAGATAATTTCTTAAGTGAAACCACTATTGTAACTCTTACTGTGCCTGAGTAATTTGTGATTAAATAAAGAAAATTTGTCTTTTTTTTTTTAGCCTCGCCTTAATTTTTTTTAAATGATCAGTGCAAAACACAATTAAAACTCTTGTGAAAACCCAGGTATGCCCTTAGATTTTATACATCTACATCTTGAGATAAATTGTAGCAAAGTAGGACTGAATAAGTTGAAGTATATTCATTTCACAAAGGTTTTAGTGAGCAGTGTGTCAGGCAGAAATGGCATTTTGGCACAATTTAGCCAAATGTACCCAAAACTGTGCCAAATGGGTTTTTATTTTATAAAAGAGAATCTGGTCTAATAAAAGTGTTGATTTTTTTTTTGTAGGACTCATTCTGCATATGACATATCCTTTTATTTTTACATTTACACTGTGCATCATCAAAATCTACCATTGTGCACACCATGAAATCACTGAATGGACCTAACTCTGCCTCAACGTTTAATCATGAGGACTGTTATTTATACTCCCGGTTACACACGAACTTCACATCACCAAACAAAGAGTAACGCAGTGTCAAGATATATCCCTGAATTCGTGAGAGCTTCGTCTTTTCAAAGACACCAAAGGGAGGGGTATGGAACTAAAACTTGCACAGCAACAGATGCKSAGAACTTCCTGATACYGAAACGCTCCGCGACGGTTCAAGTAACTTACGAATGYTTGTATAGCTCTAAAATCATAAATATTTATCCAAAAATAATTTGGCAACTCATTTTAAAAACATTCAAGACACCTTTTGTGACGGACTTAGAAAAAATTTGGGAAAAAATAAGTTTTACACTTACTTTAGCAAACAACAATGAATGACACCATCTGCKGGCCCTGTACRGGGCCCGTAAGGCTGTAATGATCAGAAAGTATAAAATACAAAACTGCATCTAACATTATCAGTTACAAAATTTCTTTCAGCAGCTCAAAATRCACAAGTTAAACACTGGTTTATAATCTTTTACTAATGCACCACATTACTATGTTAYGTCTTAAAAAAGAGTCACCTCAGCACTTTTCAACAATCACAGCAAAGTGTGATAATATTATTATATAATGCTGCTGAAATTATTACAAAATGTGGTGTAATTATATTTTGAAGTCCAATTTTATTGCATTATTACATATTGTGGTGTAAGTACATAATGCAGCTTTACAGGGCATGTGGAGATTGCCACAAACAACACCTAATTAAATTTTGAAGGTGAACTGACAACAACCACCAGAAATAATCAGCATCCAGCAGAACTTTGGTGAAATCACAGCTCAGCAGAAGTGCACTACCAGTGAGGAGTGCTATTAATAATGCTAGGTCATAGCTAGGTCACACACGCACACTTATCCTGTAGATATTAGGCTACAGGATAAGTGTGTGGGGGTGGGGGGGCATCTTTGGATAATTGTAGGAAAAACATTGCTAGGGTCTTAGTGGGAGGTGTGCGTTCTTCAAGTCGATTTGTGTTTTTGTGTCTTTGTCAACCAGTAAAACTTTCTGTCCAGTTCTATCATTTAGTTCATATTTCAGTTTAACCTGAATCCTGTTGGTTTCTGCTCAAATCTTTTATTCTTTATTCAGATTAAGGAGCTGCAATTTGTCAGAGATCAGCTGTTCCTCTCTGGGCTCAGCTCTGAAGTCCAACCCCTCTCATCTGACACAACTGGACCTGAGCTGGAGCCCCCTGTCTGACTCTGTAGTGAAGGAGCTCTGTGGTTTCCTGGAGAGTCCAAACTGTAGACTGGAGGCTCTGAGGTCAGTTCACTGCAGCTGTTGGAGGTTTTTAATGTTTTTCCAACTAAAATCATTCACTGATCTTTTAGGGGTTTTTGCTTTATAAATGTTTCATTCTTTTACAAAAGATCATCGTCTTTTACATCTGTTTTGAATTTTCTCTTTGCAAACATCTAAAAACTTTTTAACAAGAACAAGTTTGCTGCTCGTTTTAAAGCAGCAGTGTACAACGCAATAAGTTGACTTTACTTTAAAAATGTATGCAAACTCTGTGCCTCAAAAAAATTAAGTAACCTTAACTTGTACACCTTAAGTTTGCACAACTCAACTAACTTGAAATTTTTAAGTAACAAAATAGTACACATAACTTAATTTTATTAAGTACAACTTAAAAAATAAGTCCTGTTTAATCAAACACAATGCAAACTTGTTGCCTCAAAAAAATAAGTAATGTGAAATCATCAGCCTTTTGCAGAACAGTTAACACAAATGTGATTCAAGCAGTCCACACTCCATTGTTTTAGCTCTGGTGACCAAACAGAAACATCCTAATCCKATTAGAAAGTTCCCACATCAGTATGAAATCAGTGAAGACGTGTTAGACACTCCTTCACACAAACCTTCATTTAACAGTCAGTCTGCAGGCCTTAAAAGGCCACGTCTGTGTTGATCTTCACCAGCATGGATGGAGTCAAGACAGAAGGGAGTCAGAGACAGAGGGTTCTGAAGAAGAGGAGTCTGTGTGTGAAGTGAAGGTGGAGCTGTAGTTCGGAGGGTTTCAAGTTTCAGAGGAAATTTGAGCAACTCTACTTTATTGTTCTCTGATTTTTATTTTGGTTTACATCACAGTACTGTCTGTCATATTTACAGTTTGTCAGTTTTCAACCACAGTTTGAAAAGAATGTCATGGAACTGAAAAAAATCAAAGCATTTCTGAATTTTGGATCCAATTCTTTGCAAATAGAAAAATTCAACACAGCATCTGTAGAAAGAAAAATGCCATGAAGGGGATGTAACAGGCTACAATGACAAGCATTGGTGCACCGAGTGTTGGAATTTTTGTATGTAATGATTAATTGGAAGAGCTTGGGCACTTGGTTAGAAGYTGTGTTGTTTGAAGGCAGCACTAGCTTTTGTTTCATATTTTAAATGTTTTATCTCAGTTAGAGCATTTTACAAACATGTGTCACTTTGACCACTGGTGTCTTCAGGCCTGTGTGTTCACTGTTCTGGAAATGTGGAGTTTGAGTTGACTGCTGCATCAAAGCAACCAAGAAAAACTGTAACCCAGTGAATAACATGTCCTCATGTCGGACTCATAACATATTGACGCGCAGGGCGTACCCCGTGCATCCATCCTTGCCGTCCACGGCTTTTCCGGGTTTACGAGACGTCTGAGGTTAACATGAGGAATCTGGATTAATGGTTAACTTTAGGGTCTGTGGTTAACATGAGACATGTGGTTAACATTAGCGATCAGGGTTAAAGACCATGTGAAGTAAATTTTAATATTTTCTTCATTAAGCATTATAAATGTGACAATTGCATTGTTGTAAATCAGTAAAAAGTCTCACAACTGTAGATACTTTGATTTTGGAGGTATAGATCAACTTGTGTTTAAAGATATGTTTGTTTCAGGATTGTCAGGGCGTGCTTTAAAAGGTGGCTGCTTTTTGTCACGTGACCACCTTAAACATAACCCCGGCTTAACCCCGCTGCTCCAGCAATATAAAATCGTTCTTCGCCTCGGCCTTTGCTGTTCACTTGCTTATCACAGATAGCATCAGATAGCAAT